AATCAGGTGGCACCTATAGATAACTTCTTGTTGATAATTCAGAAATAAAATGGTTCCACTCGCAGACCGTCCAAGTGATGATCCAAGGGATCATTTGGTTAGGTTTTTGCTTTTAGTTTCTTTTTCTTTTTCTTAAGATAAATAAAGAAGAGAGAATGAAAATAAAGCGGAGAGAGAGAGATAAAGGAAAAGACATCAAATGAGTTTTTAAAATAAAAAATAAACTATAACAGAAAACCAAAATGTTACCAAAAGGGCCTCAACGTATGTTATTGTAAAACTGAGGTATACATGTAAACGACTGTTGGTGTATGATGTTACGGCAGCAAAATAATGCAACATTGGTATCAAACAAGGTGTACCTTAACATCTTCTTGCCCAGTATTTCTGAGGAAAGAGGAAACTTTCCACTATGGAACATTGAAGCTGCATCACCTGCAAGTACATATGCCAAGAATGTCTAGCTCTGAAATCCATTTTATAAACACTATGATAGCATGAATATTTTCTAGGCAAGTCAAACCAGCCAAATGAGCACCGTAAAAAAGATATCAAGATAATCCATGTAATTAGGAAGCCTGCTATGCAGAAACACTCTAAACCCTAAACCAACTAACGCACTATACAGAAGGTAAACCAATCATACCTATCCACACAAAAAGATAAATTAAAATAAATGGTAGATATCTTTCATGAATACTTTAGCTTGACTAACCTATGTCTTCCTAAGAAATCTGCTTCATGCAGACCAGAATTCAGTTTATCTTCTGAAAATGACTTGTCACTTCTACATATATAGAATAACAAGGCAATCGTCAAACTTATTTTTTTGGTGATTTTAGACAAACGATGCCACCAACCAAGCACCAAAAAATGTAATAGAAATCAACGAATGCTAATGAAGTTGAAGGCAAAGTGCCATCTACTTACCATGAATTGCATGGTCAAGCTGCAAAGTGGTCACAACATAGGAATATATACACCTCAGGCCAAAAACAGTGCCATTTCTTATTATTTGATAAATGAATCTAGATAATGAATTTTCTTTGCCTCCATGTGTATAAAGAAACCATGATCAATGTACATCCTTCAAATCTTTGTTAACAATTTGAGAAGTCACCACAGTCTCGTTTATTTTAGAAAGTTCTCTGGCCAAAATAACATACGTCTGGGTACTGATACTGCATTTTTCAGATTCAATAACATGAAGAAACTTCATGCATAAATCTGAATTCCCTTCCTTCAGTAACCCATCAATTAACACAGTCCAAACAATCTCATCAGTATTCCATTGTTTCTCTAGCATCCTTCTGAATAATGTTTCAGCTTCTTCCACTCGACTCACCCTGCAGAGGACACTAATAAGTGCCTTATAAGATGATAAGTGTACCTCAAATCCCCTATCTGCCATCAAACCAAAAATTTCCAGCGCAGAATCCACTTTCAAATTCATACAATAAACAAAGAACAGAGACAGATAAATCTTATTAGTGGGGCAGAACCCTTTATCTTTCATATGCTGCAGCAACTGATCCGCCTCATAATATCTACCATCTCTGCACAAGCCTCTCACTAAAATGTCATAGGTATGAACAGTTGGTTCACATCCATACTCTGACATCCTAGCTAAGAGATTACACAACACCTCAATAGAGGTATAGCTCTCATCAGAGCTGCAACTATACATTTCTTCATGTTGGGACTCAAGGCCCACAACATTCTCTGTCAGCAACTGGCTTTCCCTTTGCAACCCCTTGACCAACACAGAATAAGTTCGGTAGTTGGGCTTGCAGCCAACATCAACCATTCGCCTAAGGAGCAGAAACGCATGATCTAGCTTGCCAAGTATAACAAATCCATCAATGAGTGTGGTATATGTTACCTCATCAGGAACCAATCCTTTCTGATCCATTTCTTTAAGTAACCTCTCAGCATCATCAACCTTACCCTCACGACATAACCCAAAAATGAGTGAACTATATGTATACAAGTTCGGCAAGCAACCCTGCTTTCCCATTTCATGGTAGATTTGGAATGCAACGTCAGTACTGCCATTCCCACAGAGGCACCTAATTAGAGACGTGTAGGTAATGACATTTGGAGCCAGTCCTTGCTCCCCCATCTTTGTACATAATTTTTTAGCTTTTTCAATCTGATTATCATTGCACAAACCACTTATAATGGTATTGTAGGTTTCAATACCCGGACAGCAACCATCCTCCTCCATCCGCTCAAATAATGCCAATGCAGCATCTACCTTCCCCTCCGCACAATATCCAGCAATCAAAGCAGTGTAAGTGACCTGATTGGGACGAATGCCTTGTTCTACCATCTCATGGAAAATAGTAGATGCCTCTTCAGACTTACCCGCCTTGCATAACCCAGAAATAAGTTCAGTATAAGTCCATTCATCTGGTTCACATCCACTCCATTTCATCAAATCCAATAACCTCACTGCATTGTTTAATTTACCCCCATCAAGGTATGCATTGATAAGTGTGTTATAAGTAATCACATTTGGAGAGGGTCCCACTTTCAGCATTTTGCTTAAAAGCGTCATTGCCTTATTAACGTTACCTATCAAACAGAAAACCTTGATGATTCCATTGTGTGTTTGGGTATTTGACAAGGTACCATGTCTTTCCATCCAATAAAAAATCTTCTGAGCCATGCCATATCTTCCTGTCTCACATAATTCATTTATCAATGTATTGAAGGTAACCGTGTTTGGGACCAAACCGTCCTTCACAAGTTTGTGATAGAGTCCAACAGCAACATTGAGTTTTCCTGTCTGAGACAACCCGCTGATCAATGCTGTATAAGTATGAACGTTAGGATGGCAACCCCTGCTCCTCATACTTCTGAAAAGCCCAATTGCTTCCACCAGTCGATTGGCCTCACATAGTGAAGTAATTGGGACAGTGTAAGTAAATACTGTGGGTTCAATCCCTTTCTCTACCATTTCATCAAGCATATCCAGTGCCTCATCCACCTTTCCCTCATTGCATAGCCCATTGATAAGAGTTGAATACGTAACCGAATTGGGGTCACAACCTGCCTTCACCATCTGATCATAAACGTCAAATGCCAAATTCACCTTACGATTTCTACAATGCCCAAGAATCAACGATGTATAAGTAAAAACATCCGGGAAAATATCGAACTGAAAAATCCGGCTCAAAATCACCTCTGCTTCCTGAACCCTGCCTTTCTTACACAATATATTGATCATTGTATTAAATGTCAACAAACTTGGTCTAATCCCACTATTAAGCATCTGAGTATAAACATTTCGAGCTACACTAACCATCTCGAACTTTCCCAATTGTATCAAAAGCGTATTAAAACTAAACAATGTAAACTGAAAACCAAGTCTATTCAAATCATTCAAATACTCAATTACCCATTTGAGCTCTTCCTCCTTCCTACAAGCCTTGATCATTAAAATCCTCACACGATCCGCAGGCGCAAAAAGCCGCTCCCTCACAAGCCGATTAAGCATTGACGAGAAGCAGCCCATATCGTGTTTGTAAAAATGCCTCTTAGAAATCCAGTAGAAGAATCTCAACGCCGAGTCAGTGTTACGGTGGGACTCGATGATCTTCGACACGTGATGGGTTCTGAGCTCGGGTCCCAGCCAGCTGAGCTCCGAGCTCCGTTCCCATTGGGGGTCGCTCAAAATGTCGCAGATTCTGGCGACCAAGTCCGGGAAAGGTTTGGAGGGTTGAGCGGGTTCGGAGAAAAGCCTGGTTCTTGTTGAGAATTTGAGAAAATGGTCGGAACCCAATAGAGAGCGGAGGGTTTGGAGGGGCTTTAACATTTCGAGCTATGGGGAGGTCATGTGGGATTGCAGAAGAAGAGGATGGTAAAGTTTGGGACTTTTGCCGGTTTTCAGAGATATGGGGATTGAAGGGGGTTGATTGGTAGGGGGGAAGCGTGAGTCGACTCGGCGAGTTGGTGAACGTGGTCATTGGAGAGCCATAACCAGCAGCTTACTGGAGGTGGAGGGAAGTGGAGAGAAAGGTTACGCTGTTGAGTAAAAACTAGGGTTCTTTCACTCGGAGACGGAAAAAGAGGGAAATATAACAGAAAGGCCAAATTGCAGTAATAGTTTCATAGTTTACATGAGCTTTCGCTTTCATCCCTATACAAATTCTTACATTTTCATCTTTGTTGTTTTGATCTATTTTGACCTTAAGTTTGGCCCCGCTAATTAAATTAGTTTTTCGGTCTAAGTTTGTGCACATCTTCTCATTTAACAAAAAATTTATCATTTGACAAACCGGTGTACGATGATGTCGAAAATGAAAAACATAAATATCTAGCATATAGCAACCTATTACGAGCGATTATTGCGATAATATTTTTCTTGAATATTAAGAATGAAAAAGAAGATTAACAGGCATATGACAAAAAACATTGTCGAAAATATTTGGGTCCCTCAATTCTCTAATAGGTAGTCTTGTAATCATGTATAGTAACTCTAGATATTATCTTCACTTGCTACTAATGAGAGAACATGAGGAGTGTACCTGCGAAAGACACTCTAACACTCAAGTTAGTGAGTCTTTAAGATGATTGTCGTAAAATTTAGAATAATTGGTACCTTTTCCCTTTTAATAGGTGAGTTACCTTTACATTTGAAGTATTGAGCTCCAAGTTCATGTTCGTTAATTTTCTTTATAATTCACTAATAACTCTATCATAAACACAAAGTGATCACATAACAAATTACTGACTTGATCGTAGCTCCACTTCCCTATAGAGTGCACATACCTTATTTGGTTGAGTAAAATATGCTCCCATGTTCCTTAACCCACAAACACGTAATCCATCATGAGTAGGTAGCAATTAACAAAAGAAAAGAAATAACAATAGGCATTTGACGGATTTGACCAACGGTGTTAACTTAATGAAATTACATAGGATGAAAATGTAAGAAAAAAAATACAAGGACGAAATTAAAAACCGAGATAAACTACAGGACTATTAGTGCAATTTAGTTGTGGTTATACATGGGCCACTCAGACGGTCGGACCCCTTGGTTGTGGTTATCATCTGATCCACCAACGCCATTGCAGGTTGCAGCAATGCTTCAGCTCACACCATCTCTCTCTCTCCTCCACAAACCATTTCTCTCTCCTCAAACCCTAAACCCCTTCTCGCTTCTCCAAACATGCAAAACCCTACAAGAAGCACAGCAGCACCACGCCCTGTTCCTCAAGACCGGAACTTTCAGCCACCCTTCAGTCGCCTCCTGCTTCCTTTCTCTCTACGCCGACCCCAAAATCAACAACCTCGACTACGCCCGCTCCGTCTTCGACCAAATCGAACAACCCTCGTTGGTGTCTTGGAACGTTCTCATCAAATGCTACGTCGGAAACCAGCGGTCGCATGATGCCATTGTTTTGTTCTATGAATTGGTTCATGAGCTTGTTCCCGATCATTTCACTGTGCCGTGCGTGATTAAGGGTTGCGCTCGGTTGAATGCGATTGAGGAAGGGAAGCAGATTCATGGGTTGGTGTTGAAAATTGGGCTGGGGTTGGATAAGTTTGTCCAGAGCAGTTTGGTGAGTTTGTACTCGAAATGTGGTGAGATTGGTTTGGCTCGGAAGGTGTTTGATGAAATGCGTGACCGAGATTTGGTAACTTGGAATTCATTGGTGGATGGGTATGCGAGGTGTGGAGAAGTAGAAGTGGCAATGGAGTTGTTTGATCAAATGCAGGAGAGGGATTTGTTTTCTTGGACTGTTTTGGTCGATGGGTTGTCGAAATGCGGGAAGGTGGAGATGGCTAGGGAGGTGTTTGATAGGATGCCAAATAGAAATTCGGTTTCTTGGAATGCCATGATTAATGGGTACATGAAAGCTGGAGAGGTTGAGACGGCTCGTCAATTATTTAGTGGGATGCCGGCAAGAGATGTGATAACTTGGAATTCAATGATTGCAGGTTATGAATTTAATGGGAGGTTTATGGAAGCATTGGAGTTGTTTCAAGAAATTTTGAAAGAAGATGTCATGCCTAGTCATGCTACATTGGTCAGTGCTCTTTCAGCCGTTTCGGGATTAGCTATCCTGAGTAAGGGGAGATGGATTCATTCTTTCATGGTAAAACATGGATTTGAGTTAGATGGCGTGCTTGGTACATCCTTGATTGATATGTATTCCAAGTGTGGGAGCATTGAGAATGCTCTGACCGTATTTCGAGCTATACACAGGAAGAAATTAGGGCATTGGACTTCTATAATTGTCGGTTTAGGAATGCATGGTATGGCTGACCAAGTTCTTGAGCTATTTCTCGAGATGCGGAAGAATGGAATGCAGCCTCATGCTATAACTTTTATTGGAGTCTTGAATGCATGTAGTCATGCCGGATTGGTCGATCTTGGCCGTTTCTATTTCAATCTGATGACAAATGATTATGGAATTGAACCCACAATTGAACACTACGGTTGCTTTGTAGACATTTTATGTCGGGCTGGCTGTCTGGATGAGGCGAAGAATGTCATTGAAAGTATGCCCATGAAACCAAACAAAGTAATCTGGATGAGTTTGCTCAGTGGTGCTCGGAATCATGGAAATGTTGAACTTGGCGATTATGCTGCTCGTCACCTGATTGAAGTGTCTCCCGACACTATTGGATGCTATGTTGTTCTTTCTAACATGTATGCTGCTGCTGATCAGTGGGAGAAAGTTTCACAGGTAAGAGAAATGATGAGAATGAGAGGAGTCAAAAAGGACCCGGGATGCAGTTCCATAGAGCACAGAGGTGTGCTTCATGAGTTTATTGTGGGTGATAAATCACACCCTCGGACAGAAGAGATATATTCGAAGTTGAGTGAGATGAGAGAGAAACTGAAATCTGTAGGACATGTTCCTGACACAAGCCAAGTTCTGTTGTGTCTTGAAGAGGAAAAAGAGAAGGAAGCTGAACTGGAAAACCATAGTGAAAGATTGGCTATTGCATTTGGTCTCATTAATTCGGAAGCTGGGAGTCCTATTCGCATTATAAAGAATCTTCGTGTCTGTAGCGATTGCCACTCTGTCACTAAACACCTATCCAGTATCTATAATCGTGAGATTATTGTGAGAGATAATAGTCGTTTCCATCATTTCAGAAATGGCTCATGTTCTTGCAAAGATTTTTGGTGACTAACTTGTTTGTCTGCTGCATTGACGGCTGTGTTCAGCTGCTCACAGCCTTAAAGCAAGAAGCATCAGAATGCATCTACCTCTATGCTTGCGCTCTTAACATTGGAGCAGCTATCGGTATCATTTCTTCTGATTCAGGCATATTTTTACATGTTCATTTGATGTATTTTAGCATTATAGGCAGTCATGAATGTGCGCATTCATTTAATGATGCGACTTGTCCCTCACAAAAGCTGCCCCTCTTGTAACAGGGATATGACTCATAGGTCTTGCTTTCCCAAAATTCTGCATTGGCAAGAGACTCGCACTAACAAGATAGGGAATCTTCATTATACAGAGTCTGAGTTTATAATGAGAGATAATAGTTGTTCCCATCATTTCTTTCACCCTCCATTGGAGAAAGGCGTGTATACTAGGTGCCCTTAGTATTAGAGGCAATCTTCATTGTATACTGATTACCCCCGTAGTAAATGTAAACTTATACCGACAGTAATGTAAAAAATTCTGATTTTTCTCAAATTGACTGTTTCATACATTCTCTTTGTGCTTTGATTGAACTCAAAATTTTTCTACTTTCCCCAACCTAAGATGAAGAAACCTATGCCTGCACTCTTAAATTGGAAGGGCCATTGTTGTCAGTTCTTTTGATTGTGGGAACTTGTTGTGTGTTTATTTAATATATAGCAGTACAGGCAGTCTTGATGCCTGTCCGGATGCTGAAACTCTTGAAATTAGAATGCAACTGCAGTCCCTGTATTGGCTAGATACTTGTTCACCCCTTAGATATATTGGCTAGAGACTTGTGCACCCCTTAGATATATGGGCAGTCTATGTTATGCTGATGTTATAGTGAAAGGTAATAGCCATTCCCATTTTGCAATCTTCATTATACTAAGGTAATAGTGAAAGCCCATCATTTCTTTCACCCTAAGTTGACAGAATTCGTATACTTGGTGTCCATATAGATACAGTGTAGGCAATCATCATTGCAGAAATTTTATGCCCTAATTAAACTTAATTTGCCTAATGGTGACGGATTGATGAAGAAACCTGAGATCAATCTATGATCTTATGGTTCGGCATTGACTTTCTCTTGTATTTCGCTAGTTCGAAGCATCCTCCATTTGTTTCCTAGTTTAGATTTACTATATTGCCACAAAGCATGCATCTATTGATAGGAATTCTTGAATGTGCACCACAATTAGACAAATAAAACGAAGGAGCTTGGGAGTTTTTTACTGCATACAGCGGTTTCAATACAAGCAGTTTCTAGTAAAATTGCATCAGAACTAATGGAGTCCACAACAAGAGAACCTCAACACAAGCAGTAAGTTCGGGTAATGTTACAGATGAACGGCCATGGCTTGAGGTTTCTTCACTTTCCAGGGACGAAGTTGGTGGCGTAAGCCCATGCGTTGTTGGCCACTGGGTCAGCGATGTGGTCGAAGAGGTTCTCCACCGGTCCCTTTCCAGTTACAATAGCCTGAACAAAGAATCCGAACATTGAGGTCATAGCCAGACGCCCGTTCTTAAGTTCCTTCACCTTCAGTTCAGCAAAAGCTTCGGGATCATCAGCAAGTCCAAGGGGGTCAAAGGCCCCTCCTGGGTAAAGTGGGTCTAGTCCCTCACCGAGTGGTCCTCCTCCAACTCTGTATCCCTCAATGAATCCCATGAGCACGACCTGGACAGCCCAGATTGCCAAGATGCTCTGAGCATGGATAAGGTTTGGGTTGCCAAGGTAGTCAAGGCCGCCCTCAGAGAAGATTTGCGATCCAGCCTTGAACCAGACAGCCTCGCCGAACTTGACGCCATTCCTTGACAAGATTTCTGGGAAGACGCATCCCAGTGCACCAAGCATGGCCCATCTGGAGTGGATCACCTCAAGCTCACGGTTCTTGGCAAATGTTTCGGGGTCTGCAGATAGTCCAGCAGTGTCCCATCCGTAGTCTCCGGGGAATTCACCGGTCAAGTATGACGGAGTTTGCTCGGAGAATGGTCCCAAGTACTTGGGGCGGTCTGGGCCGTACCTGTTTTGTCAGTTACCATGTAAACTTCTCAATGGTATATGATCATGTTGTTCTTGTAACAATGTTGCTATACATTGAGCTAAAATTTATCGTGTACATCATAAGCATGTCCGCTCATAAGCGCTTCTGTTAGAAGTGCTTTTATTATAAACATGTACAAGTCTTTGTTTAAAATCCAAGTGCTTTCCTATGAAGCACATAGCAGGTACTTCTCCAGAAAGCATTTATATTCACGCATGGGAATTTTAGTAGAGTTGCTTGGAAAGAAAGATAGGTTATGCTGACATACTAGAGCCAAGGTACTTACCATATGCTCTGGGGGGCACTTTTGACGGTGCGCCGCATGGAGAAGCGGCCGCCGCCAAGGCCGCCGATCTTTCGGACGAGCTCACTGGACTGCTTCAAAGCAGTCTGGCCAGCAAATGCTGATTGTTGGATTGCAGAGGTTGCCATTGCTTGCTGCTTTTTTTCTGTTTGAAGTTTTGGTGGTGTTGAGCAAGCCTGCCGAGATGCTTTCAACCAGGGAGAGGTCAGGGATGTTATAACGGGGAGTTGAAGATGATGTGGATTAGGATATGTACACGTCAGCGGCATCCTATTGGTTATCAAATAGATTCGGATTTCCAATCTGATTGTCGTAGAGAGTGAGAGGTTCTCTCTTTGCCACGTGGCAGACAGATGCTGCAATGTTTGTGGTTGGTGAACACAGGCCACAAGTTGACCAAAAGACAAATGTTTCGCAGGTCCACGGGTAAAATCATAAAATTACCTTGTGTTTTTGCAGGCTTGAGGTGAAAAAAATGGGAAAGGATTCTCTCCGGATCCCTTCTACCTAATCTTTCTCATCAAATAATTCGGATTTTTAAAATTTGAATTAATGGCTAAAGTTATTATAACTTTTAAAGTTGATCATGTTTTTAACCATTGAATCAAATTTCAAGGACCATGATTGTTTGATGAAGACGATTAGGTGAAAAGGATCAAGAGAGGATCCTTAAAAAAAATCTACCTTTAATTTGGACAGCGAAAATTATAAAATACGTTAATTTATAAATACGATGTGGAATTTAACTGGATGATGTGATCCACTTAAAAGGCAATGTGTTGTAAGACTCTTCAAACTATTTATTGGCTGCTATGAAAGAGTTGTATAGCTGCAGTAGTTTTTGACAAAACAGTAAAAATAGTGACAAGCCAGAAATAGGTTGCCGTGGAAGAGGAGCATTCAAATTTACTTGACCTATGTAACTCAAATGGTTAAAAACATTTACTTTACTTCTAAGGTCCTATGTTGAAATTCACCCTCACTAATATCGCTTGTAACGAAAAACAACACATGATCTGATGAACTGCAAGCATTCTGGTCGATCGAATCGAAGGTTGATAAAAACTTAAGCAACCAAACTAGTAAATTAGAAGGGACAAGGGGGAGCAACATGCGAAAAGAGTAAGAATTTGCTACCTTGGAAATACAGAATCAACTCTTTCACATTGTAGAGATGGCAGACATGGTTTGTTGTTGTAAACTAAACCAAAAACCAATCAAGCAATAAACAAAATACAACGATTTCAAAGTCTCTCCAATATATGAGTACCTTTTTAACAATGGAAACTTTATTGATTACCAACAAATACAAGAGAACTCACAAACACAAAGTGTTCTCAAGTATACATACTTATGCCTCCCACAACTTTCACACACAAAACTCTATCACGCATCCATCTATTTATACTAACAGATGTCATAGGTTTACATAAAGTCCATAGAATATAGGAAACCAAATCCTATAGTAAAATCAAATCCCAAACCAACTAGGAAACACAAATCCAAATATCTTGCGTCTAAGATATCCTAATCCTTTTTAGATTAGGCATGTTGATTTAATGCCAAATCCAATAGTTTGTTTACTGTATTTAGTATTTGCAGCTCAACGGATATACATCGCGAGAGGGGAAATTTCTGGGCGAAAACAGTATGATGATACAGACAAGATGAGAAACAAACAAATGGGAACGTATAATCTGTGTTGTATATGTGAGAATCCAGCGTGTGAGCTCACCATCAGTGCCGAAGTTGTTTTTTGGAGGTGTGCTAAAAGGAATTTGAAGGCCCGAACAGAACCCCACGAAAGAGCAGCAAGAACGCAACAAATTAGCCACTGCAGTGCATTCAACCTCACACAGCTGGCTAGTCCTTTTCCAAACTCAACAATGATCACCTGGATGATCAAAACAGCCGCTAACGCCATCAGAAACCAATGGCTGCGGAGGACAACAACTAGCACTTCCTTTTTTACTATGTCCATGGCACTGAACAAATTAAGGACCTGGCATAAGGTGAAAGTATTGAAAATCATGGTATTCCGGACACCTTCGTTCATGCTCGATACTACATTTCCCATGAAATGTAAGATCAGCAAGATGGAAGCCTGGTACAAAACTTGAACTGCTATGTTTCCCCAGATGACTTTGGTTATAAGCGACTCGGTCCTCTTAGCAGGTATTTGAGTGTGTCGTTCAGTGCCTTGTAACTCCATCACCATCATTAGGCCACCAAGAAGGCACATGATCAAGTTCACCCAAATCAAGTGAACTGTTGTTAGTGGGGACTCTCCCGAATGCATTGTTACGACTAGGGTCACTAATAGCCCGGATATGCAAGTGGTGAGTTGAAGTTGAGAGAACTGCTGAATGTTATGGTAAGCACAAGCACCGAACTTCATATTCATGCTTAAGAAATATCCATTTCTGATTATAAGATCGGCGTTCTCTCTGGCCATCTCGGTGCTCCAGAGATCTTCTACAATTCCTACATCAGCTTCTTTTAAGGTCAGAGCGTCACTGCTGGTTAGCCCTCCATAAAATCCAACTATGTGACCTTTTTTCTTTAACTGCTCCACCATGAGAAACTTGTCCTTGGGGAGAGAACTTCCCATCACAGAGATCAAATCCACCTTATCCCGCATTTCCACGGAATTGAGCCTTCGGAAATCTTGACCTTCAATTTTCGTGAAATCTGAGTCAGGGGAGATCCTAAGCTCCAAAGCTCTAGCTCTCACTTTCGAGAGCTCATCATCCGACACCAGTTTGATCCTTACTCCAGCTTCTCTAAGAGCCTCCACGTCCAATTTAAGTTCTTCTTGATATGGACATCTAAGACCGACAGGTGCCAACAAAATCAAACCATCTTTTGTAGGATATTTGGCTTCTGTTTTCTTGTACGCTTATGCAATCGATCTAAGACCCTTCTTCTCCATCTTCTCGATCACCTGCTTGAATTTTCTCGTCTGGTATCCAATATTGTGACTTTCCCCTCTGTTATCATAGTAATGTGAACACATGCCTAGTATTGTTGATGCTTCTCCGTCACAGTGAAGTTGCATAATCTGTTCATCATTCTCGATTTTCCTCAATACAACTCCTCTATACTTCTCATTAGAGCTCCATTGTTCAACAATTTCAAATCTTCGATCCAATAACTTCGCGTTACTACCCCATATGGTGTTCAGCCAAGAAATGAGCCGATCATTTTTTGGTGACGTGGTAGCTGAAATCCCCTGATGGAGAGCCTCAAGAACTTGGTCAGTTTCCGAGTCCACTTCACCACTGCTTAAATCTTTTTCGCCGATCCGAAATTCCTCGACCTCCGTCCGGTTGCACGTTAGATCTACCGTTGTTTCAATGCAGATGAAATTTAAGAGTCCCACGGTGACAGAAGCTGATAGATTCCGTGGATCTGCTTGATTTTTGGCTGCCTTCTCCTTCCATTGAAAAAGGGCAACTGCAATCACAAAAGGCATCCCATGTTGTATCCCTATTACCACAGTTGTGAGAACGCTTGCTAAGATGGAAACTTTTCCTTGAGGTTCCAATGAGATCTTTTAAAAAATCCTCATCACAAAATTCATTGAAAATATCCCTTTCAGCTCTGGCCTTTCATTGTAATTTTCATACTTCCTGAAGAATAGTAGGCGTATCAACATCCCAACCCAATCAGTATCGAGACACCACATGTAAGATAATCCATACAATCATTCGGTTTGTCCATCAAATCTTGTAGCAGTGTCTTTTCATTTGGATTATGATCAGACAACGAGCTCAGCACCTCAGCAAAAGCTGTATTAGCACCAATGGATGTCACAATCATGCAGCTATGGCCCTTCACAACCTTTGAACCCGAAAAAACAAATGGATTTTGTTCGCAATCAATTTTTGGGCTCAACACCTCATCCAGAACCAATACCTCACCGTGATCTATGAACAAACCATCAGCAGGAACACAGTCTCCTTCCTTCAAAGGAACTATATCACCCACCACAATGCCAGATATGGTAATCGGTGTAGGTTCTGTGCTACTTATTTCAACATTCACCGTCAATTTGCTCCTATCCAGCAAGTGTTTTGCCAGCTTTCTCTGACGGAGGTAGTTCCCCACAGAACGGAAAGCAATAAGTAAGAACGCGGCAATGAGTATGGCAACACCGTCATGCCAGCCATCCTTGACTCCTTGATTCATGAATTCGATGGTGAACGATAACCCAGCTGAGAGCAAGAGGAAAAAAATTATGTACTGATTGAACGCCTCAAACAAAAAGTACAAGAAACCTTTGGCGTCAACAGGGGACTTGGTAATGTTCCATCCTTCTGGATTTTGACCACCATCAATGGCACCTTCCTGAGATCAAATCTTGAATATAATCAACTGAAGTACAATCATTCTCGACCATGTACAAGATTATAGAAAAAGTGGTTATTTTCTACAGGGTTGCTTGCTACCTCAAAATGAGACCTGAGAAGTGGCAAGATGCCATCAACACCACCAAGTCTGCGGAGTGAGTTCAAGTCCTTCTCCCTCACTATTTCAGTAACCTTTTTCGAAAACCATTCCTGGAGAGGGATGTCAATCACATGGTCAGAGGTAGTGGCTGGCGGCGCTGGTGCTGCTGCTAAAGGTTCAGAACTAGCTTCAAGCAAACGTCTGGTTTTCTTAATGCGTGATGAGAACAAAATGCCTAGAACAACATATCTCAGCGAGGTTCCCATGCGTCTGATGGTCTGCATAATCAAGCCGGTAGTAAGAGTGGCACCTTCAGCAGCTTTGATCCTCTGTATTTATCTCGAAGGTCGTGTTTCCTTGTGCCACAAGAAAATTAGAGAGATGATCAGACAAGAAATTGATAAAATTTGATTCGTTGGCGCGAATTTGCAGTTAATGAGACGTTTAAAACAAGATTGGTAAGACTCATTCCCTTATGTTAGATCTTGTAAGTAATGAGCATAGCTAATAGGAGGATTATGTACGTCTCTTTTTTTTCCTTCATATTCACGCTTTATAAGCAAACAAATTTAACTCAAGTGGCTAAAAGTTTTGCCACTCAACTACTCAGTACCAGGTCTGATGGTATTCCTCTTCACTTGTAAGTGAGAGATTTTAGGTTCGAATCTCGTGAATGGCGAATTCGATACCAAATTAAGTTGGCTTAGCCGAACTCCCTCTTCCCTTAGTATAAAATTATATCGATGTATTAAAAAAAAGCTAAAAGTATTTATTATGTACCAAAAGTTTTTTATCAAAAAAATGGCATCACATACAGAGATCCCTATTTCTTTATGTTCTTTATTTGGTGTTTTACATCTAGGTCCAAAAATAGGTTGACATGGTAGATAGATAATTACACAGATATTATACCTATAAACGAGATATGAAATTCAAGTACAAAATACAAAAATAGAATACCTACAAGTAAGATACATTAAGCATTGATACATGTTAATCATAAATATAAATCTTTCATATAGATAGATTAATACAATTAACCAGTGATCTAGATTGATTAAAAAAAATTATAAATGGGATTTGGAACAGAAGAACAAAAAATAACGAAAAAAAAAGAAATAATTAAGGAGATAATTACAAGAAATTAATTTTTATAATAAATCTTATCAATAAATAAGATAATGAAATAATCATAAATTTAAGAGATTTGACTTATTTTAAGAAACTGGATAATTTTTAATATTGGTTGAAAAAATTGGACAGACAAAAATACAAATGAGTAGCTAAGGAAGGATAGACAGATTCATGTATGTTTATTTTGCCGTAAACAATATAACGGGAGTAGCGGTGGTTGCGCGCGGGATCCAAACCGAAAATGGAATCCCGAATTCCAAACCCGGAAAGGACAGAATTTTGAAGATTGAAATCAAAACAAATTTTCGAGATTCTCAAAACTTTATCGGGATTTTGGTACAGGTCGGGATATTTTACAATAAATCATAGATTTGTGCTCAATGTTTCAGTGAACAAATTTAGGGTACGTTCAATTGGAAAGTTAAGAGATTTTAATGAATTTATAAATCTATAAATTTTTTATAGAGTTTAATTGATTTGTAGAAATTTTATGTAAAATTTTGATTCAATTCCCCCAAAATCTTATAGAAAATCTTATGGGAAGAGGTGAAATTTGTGAATGTTTAAAATACATTACAAAATCTCTCAAATTCCCTCAAATTCCTCAATTTTTTCAAATTCTAATTAAATACACTTAAAATGTTATAAACTTATTTAAAATTTTAATTGAATACACACAGATTTTTAAGTATTTTAATAAACTATCTTAAAATATTAATTGAATACACATTAAATTTCAAATAATCATCTAACATCTTCATTACCCTAAATTCATTAAAAAAATTAAAATGACTCAAAATCTCAATTGCATACGCTCCTTATACTTACAGCAGCTAATAAATGCTTCCTTATTAAAAAAAAATATTTAGTTTTTCAGGGAAAAGATTCCCAAATTCTTGGGTTCAATAACCCAGAAATCTTACGGCCCTTGAATAAATATAGTGAGTGAAAGATCAAAAACTGAAAGAGAAAAAAGAAAAAAGAAAACCAAATTAAATAAAACCAGAAATCCAAATCCATATATATTAAAACCCTAGAAATCTCCAAACCCAGAAATCCATACCCTAGATTTCGGAAGCTCGAGAGCCGGTCGATCGAGAAGGAGAGAGAATGGGAGAGAAAGAGAGAGAGAGAGAGCAATGTTTCAGTGTGTGCGTGTATGGTTCGTCTGTGGTGTGGTCGAGATAGGGTATGGTGGCTGGCCGGAGTCGAGATTCGAAGAATGTGGGCGGAGGAGAGCAGAGTCGAGATTGAGAGGGTTGAGATGGAGTTGACAGGGTTCGAGAATGTGCGAGTCTGTGAGAGAAAAGAATGATGAGAGACTGAGGCTGGTTTGGTATCACTGTGTTTGAAAAAAAAACTAATAAAGTAGCGAAATGTTTAGCAATGGTGAAATAAAGTAGCAGAGTGTTTGGTAAATCTTTTTGTAAAAGTGCTTTTGAAAAAAAAAGCAGTGTTATAGTGTTGGGTAAACTTTTATGTAAAACAGATATGAAAAAAAATCAGTTTTTCAAAGCTGGGTTTTGCAATTTGGTGTTTTTGGTTTTTTTTTCATCTAAAACTATGAAAAAAAGTTGAAGCTGAATGTTTAACAAACTGTTTGGGCCCAAAATAATAGTTTGGGCCGAGGGTAGGATCATTCTCGGCCCGGGAGGCCGTGCGGCGAAAGGGCCATGGATCGTTCAGCTCGTGGGCTTCCAAGCCTAGGTCGGCTAGGTCATAACGCAAAACAAGTCGAGTCCTAGTGCAATGAGGAGTCTCGGCAGGATTAATAACCTGGAAGCGAATCCGGCTCGGTTAAGGACTAGGTTCACAATCCTAGTGAAAATAGGACTGGTCGAGTTGGTGTTGATCCGGAGGGAATGACCTAGTCCGAGTAGGATTTTAATTCGGATTCAAGGAAATTCGGTGCTATAAATAGGGGAGGCTGTGCACATTCAAAAGGCCCCTTGCAAAAATCAATACAAAATTGCCCTGCGCAAATTCTCACAACTTGTGATTTTTCTTTTTTCCTTTTTCGTTGACACATCTTCCGTTGGCATCAACAGCACTGTGGAAGCAACCGATGATATCTTAAGTCGGCATAGATAGCTCTGTCACCGTAGAATCAGTCGGTCTCGCAGTATCTTCCGTTGGCATCAACAGCACTGCGGCGAGAACGATTGATTACCTATCCAAGTCTCGGTCGAGAAGGATTTCTGAATCCTTGTTGGTCGAGGTCATCTTATTAGCCTTCTCAGCGAAGTGAGGTGTTACAAGTGATTACATTCGGCACGTTGAAAGCCGAATTTGATATTGAACTTCGTAAAAATAGTAACCTTGTCTTCAGGTTCGAGAGCCCAAGAGGCCGAGACGTGTTTCTTTCTCGGCCGCAATCGCAAGACGCAGAAGTCAGCCGCGCACCCAACGCAACATCAACAAATTTACTCCTCGACCGAGCTCGGCCGACGAGTTGGCACGCCCCGCAATCACCGAAGGACGTAGTTAGCTTATAGATTACTCGGCATGCGCGCCACGTAGGCTTTATAGTTTCTAGGGCCAACACAAATACAAAAAAATTCCCAACTTTTTTTTATATCTATGTTTTTTCATAATCATCTCAGTACCAAACCTGTCTTGGAGAAACTTAAGAGAGCACATAAATACAATAGGAAAATGCATGAATTTAACAGAAAAAAAATGAAGTGATGAAAGAAATATAATATATCTAAATTACGAGTTAATGATTTTTTTTTTGTCAAGTAAAAGAATGTGAAAATACATTTTTGTTTTGTATTACAACAAAAAAGTTAAGGATAGTAACGTAATTTTATTTATACCCATCTAATCTATTTCTACACCCAACTTACTCTTTGCACCAATTTGATTTTTAACTAAACTATTAATATATCTTTAAACCCAAATTTAATACCATATATATTCCAATAAACCCAATTCAATATGTAGATTTTTTTTACATGCATTTGATTTTTAGAAGCTAAATTTGATGTGTTTAGACCTAAGTTCTTTGCATGGTTTTCCACAACACAAAAGCTGATAATCCAATTGTTACCTGCAGGAACTTAAAGATGGTTATTAAGAAGTGGATCGATGAACTTAAAGATCAACCATGGTCCAGAGAGAAAAAAGCAAATGATCAACCTGCTTTTAAATGGGCATTAGACAACAAACTCGTTAACAAAATCCAAGATCAATATTTGTTTCCATAGAAGCTCTGTATCAATGCTCGCAGGAAATGCTTCCTTATGAATTCGTGTGACCTTCGAGCCCGGTGGGTTTTCGTAATAGACTTGAAAAGGGAAGGAAATGTGGTTTTCGCTTTAGAACCGCAAGAAAGGAACATAGAGTTTGACTTCTCTCAGTTGTTTGCTAATTCAACCAGTTAATAGGTCCTTTCACACCGGACATTGTTCATCGTTGGATGCTTTCATTGTATGTGTTGAAAAAAATTACAGTAAATAACTTCTACTATCTAAAAAATTGAAATCAAATGAACAAAATATTCATAAATTGAGTTATACCTTGGTTGGAGGATTCAAAACTTCAAAATCACTATCCATCAATAAAAAAACTTAATTTTCTCTATAAAAGTTATTAGGGTTTTAGCCAGAATAAACGTAGGTAAACAAAGAGTGATCGTATGGTTTAATTATAGTGTTTGGGTTTATTGATAAATTTGAGTTTTATTATTAATTTCATTTTGTACTTAATAGTAATTATGTAATAGGGTAAAATAGACAATGAATATTTAAAATTTAAGTTGGGTGTAAAAAGAGGTTAAATGGGTTTAAATAAAATTTCTCATAAAATTTTGCTTTTTTTTATTTAAGCCTCATTACAAGTGATTGTATCATGTCTAATTAAAAAAATAAAATAAAATAAACCTCTCCCTCCCTCCCCACTCCACGTTCTCTCTCACTTTCTTCCTCTCTGCTTCAAGTTTAAAAACAAAGTAAAATATTTCACACACACTTTGTGTGTGGGCATGTACTAGTATATATGTATAAAAGAAGCATGCATTTATTTTTTAAGTTGCATCTCATAAATCATTTTTATAAAATATTAGCCAAATCGAAAATATTTGAAGCATCTAATTGAGTTCAAAGAAATTAATGAATACTTTTTTCTAAAACATATTAAAATTTTATCGTGATAATTAAATAGACAAACGGTTTTGGGGTGAATTGAATTTTACAAGAATGATATATGAATTGAAACATACAAAATAAATGATTCATATCATTGAGGTTCTGACACACCCCGTCCCGAAGGAGGGCATGCTGGCCATCACGTGAGAGTGACGTAACCATTTACACAGTTCGGAAGCTTTTAAAATACAATTACTAAAATGGAAACCCCCGAGGGTGAGTCCTACTTTTGTGAATTCTGTCAGAACGCCGTTGGGTTCCTCGTGGCCACCAAAGCTCTGCTAACTTGAACCTGGAGGGGCGCAAAACAAAATTGAGTAGGTCAGTAAAACAAAGTTTCTCGAAAACTTTTCATTTAAAACATTTCTAACCCCTCGCTGTAAAACCTGTATACTTTCCTAGAAAATAGTATATATATAATCATATATAATCTCAAATCTCAAATCACAAGTCTTTAACACTTTTCGAGAAAAATATGCCATGCCATGCCAAAATATAATATGAATGCATCAATATGAATCAGGTGAAATAATAAATCAACCGGAGACCCTATAATGGTCCTGTACGGCTGATTCTATAGCTCAATATCCCATCCAGCCGGAGTCACCACAGTGACCTGTACGGCTCAACTCTGCACGTCACTCGGAACTACATATAGTAGTCTGTACGATGACAGGTGTACAAATACGCTCTAGTGCTTCTCTCATCAATCATCAGCGCGCATAACTAAGGTCACCCACTAGTTGGAATCACATCTAGTGATCTGTACGGCTAGCATGTCGGAACCCTCACATGGTCTGTACGACATCCACCTACTTGGATCCAAGACGAGCGTGCGGTGTGGTGAATAGCAATATAAGCACTAACACCTAGGTGCAGGTTATGAGTTTTCAATGCAATTCATAATAAATAACTCAGTTGATAAATAATAACACTCACCTGAGCGTCCACCGCGTCAGTCCACACATATATATATATCAATTATCAAACTAGACATCTCAATAATTGCACGCATGGTAATTAATTTCATAATTTTCATATAAACTATTTTCTGGGAAAAACAGTTGTATATAGGTAATATGAAATCAAAACTGCCCACTCACCTGGAGTTCACCCTACAACTCCCTAGCACAATACGTCAAGGCGTCATGACAATCGGCGCCTAAAACAATAATCAAATCCAACCTCAGAATTCATATCGATAGAATATATAACTTATATAAAATACGTCACTACGTAGTTTGTTCCGGAAGCTCTGCAACTCAGATTTTAAATCCATAACTTCCAGAGGTCCACAATATATCTCTAGGACAACATCCTAAAATTTCATTACTATCCAACGGTCGGATCGTCAATTCACATTTTCGCCTAACCACGAATCGTAACCAACTCAGGTTCAATTACTCAATAACCTCTCATACGGTGCTCAATTTGGGTATATGAATATATCACAGTGGCCTACTCAACGTCACGAATGTCGACAAATTTTTAGAATTAATTTTGGACCTCCCACGCTCCGGCCAAGGCACGGCAAAACGCACCAGCCACGCGGCCACGTGCGACGGAGCAGTAACGGCGTCAGGAATATTCCTTGGAATATTCCGTTAAATTCTAACGGACGCCGTTAAATCTGACTGACGGCGTGAGAATATTCCGTCAGACTTGACGGAATATTCTCCCGTTTCCTTCCTCCAGCTCCAGCGACCGTCGCCGGCGCAGGAAACTGGGCAGAGTTTCAAATCCCTTATTCTCCTTCGTTTCTCAACCAAATTTCATGAAATTGATACCAAAATGAAGCTAATAACATGTAGAATCACGTTATACAAATTTTAAAGCTTAAATTCCACTAGATTTTTCATGAGAAAGGTCGATAGCTCGACTTACCTATAAACTCGTCGTTCTAAGTCCTCCGACATCCAAATCTTTCCAACGAAGTACTCCTAGACTCGTGAGGACTCTCTTAAGCTTCCTACAAGCTTGAAATTTCCAAAAACACAAGTTTTAACGTTCGCATGAATAGTACCCCCAAATCGGGTATACTGTTTCAACGCGAAAACGAAGCTATCCTTACCTGAAAATGGTATGGTTGAGTTCGTAGAGTCCTCACAAGCACGATGGTGCCTTCAAAACCCTCGATCCATGAAGTTTCAGGGTTTTATGGTGTTGGTCCGTACGTTCGAGGGAGAGAGAGACTGAACGGAGAGGAAGAGAGAGAAACACGGGGAAGAGAGAGAGAAGGGTTGACTGGGTGTGTGGTCCAACCAAAACCATACATACTAATTTTAATCCCTAACCACACAAAATACAATCCAATTTAATCCAACTTAAATTATTTTCTCCAAAAGTTTAGGAATGTATATTTAGTCCAAATAATATATCATACACACACATACCTTAATACCCGTCAAGGGTAATTCCGTCTTTTCACATCCTCGATGAATAAAATTCCTGGACGGGCTGTGAGAAGTACGTCCCTGGCCTGGCTGACTAGGCTGCCTAGATGATCATGCACCACCAGTAGCAACTTCCCCCTGACGGGGCTGACCTCCCTGATGCCACTAAGATCCACCAGCTGGCATAGACGAATAAGAATGATAACCTCCAAAGTCCTGAGAATACCCTGCCTGAGGATAAGGCTCATGGGGATACTGATAAGGTTCGGGAGCATACGGAGCAGCATCCCCCTGGTAGTGGTAGGCACCACCACGGCCTGACTGGCCATAACCGCCTGGTCCAAAGTTCTGCTGAATCGGCGCTGGAGGTGGCATAGTGGTCTGTTGCGGTCTCTGCTGACCCTGGGGACACTGAGAAGCCCGATGTCCCATTTGTCCACAAGTAAAACAAGCACCACCACCTCTCCTACACTCATCATGGTGACGAAAGTTACAACAGCGGCACCACGGAGCGCCAGAACCACCAGCACCACCAGAATCCCTCTGCCTCTGAAATCTAGGCCCACTAGAAAATCTACCACCACCTCTCCTCGGGCCAGTAACGCTATAACCACCACTAGAAGAACTCGAACTCACCCCACTCTTCTTAAAATTCTGAGTCTTACGAGGTCCCGGAAAAGAGATACCCTTACCTTTATCATCCTTCTTCTGACCGTCATTCTTGTCCTCGTCATCCTCACTTTCACTGGGAAGATTATCAGAGTCCTCCATCCTAACCAAAATCTCGAAAAACTCATGGTAATCAGCGCAGGAAAGTGCACTGGCAAAGGTACGCCACTTTTTCTTAGATCCCAACTTGAAACGTCGAAGTATCTCTCCCTGATTACTAGCTGTATCAGGGTCATAGCGAGACAAATCAGTAAACATTCTGTAGTACTCATGAGCTGTCATATTCTTCTGTTTCAACCGAGTAAATTCTTGTTTCTTGCGGTCAATATACTCTGGGGGGACAAATCTTTTCTTAAAATTATCTTTAAATACCTCCCAATCAGATGTCATAGCTGGGGACATAAACTGAGTCTGATTCCTCCACCAACTTGCCGGCTCTCGACCCAAAAACCAGGTAGTGGTCTCAACCCACCTATCAGCCGGAAAATTCCCCTGACTTTGCATTACCTGAAACGTCTTTTCAATATGATCTAGCCATTTCTCTGCCCCCTCGTGACCTTCATCACCCATAAAATGATCTAATTTCAAATTGTACATGGTCTCCAGGGGTGTCCTCTGAGGTGGGGGAGGAGGACGAATCACATTCTGAAAAGCCTGAGCCATTGCTTCCCCCAACTGAATGATATTCGGGAAATTAGGATCAGGAGTACGGCGGGACTCCCTACGCTCTCTACGAGGCGGCATAATTCTGACAGAAAACATCAAAAGATCATTAAAGCATTAACAATTATACATGACTGCAACCTAGTCTCTGATACCAAACTAACACACCTCGATCCGGAGGATCCAGGCGTGCTGGCCGTCACGTGAGCGTGACGTAACCATAAGTGCGACACGGAAGCAAAACAATAACATACATAAGAAGGAATTCAAACCAAACTCTAGCAGAACAACCTACTAGAATTACAGGAGGAGCTAAGATAAACACATAAATTCAGAGCATAGGTTTAGGTGCAGTCAAGTAGGACTAAAATAAAAGTACATCACCCTCAGGTGAGTCCTACATGTCAAGTGTCTGTCAGAATGCCGGAAAAAGACCTCGAGAGCCACCAACCGCTAACTAGAACCTGGAGGGGCGCAAAACAAAATGAGTGGGTCAGTAAAACCAAAGATTTTCCAAAACATTTCAAATTAAAACATTTCTAACCCCTCACCGTAAAAACCTGTATACTTTCCCAGAAAATAGTATAAAAACATATATATATATATACGCAACATCGAGACTCGGCTCATATCCCATCATAACATCTTAGAAATGATATGCCATACCCAAAATATAATCAGAATGCATCAATACTAATCAGGTGAAATAAATAATCAACCGGAGACCCTACAATGGTCCTGTACGGCTGATTCTAAAGCTCAACATCCCACTCAGCCGGAGTCACCACAGTGACCTATACGGCCCAACTCTGCACATCACTCGGAACTACATATAGTAGTCTGTACGATGAAAGGTGTATAAATACGCTCTAGTACTTCTCTCATCAATCATCAGCGCGCATAACTAAGGTCACCCACTAGTCGGAATCACATCTGGTGATCTGTACGACTAGCATGTCGGAACCCTCACATGGTTTGTACGACATCCACCTACTTGGATCCAAGACGAGCGTGCGGTCTGGTGAATAACAATATAAGCACTAACACCTAGGTGCAGGTTATGAGCTTTCAATGCAATACATATAAAATAACTCATCTGAATAATAATAAAACTCACCTGTGCGTCCACAGCGTCAATCCACATATATAAGTATCAATTATCAAACTAGATATCTCAACAATTGCATGCATGGCAAATTAATTCATAGTTTTCATAAAAACGCATTTTCTGGGAAAAACAGTTGTATATAGGTAATACGAAATCAACACTGCCCACTCACTGATAAGTCGATGGGTCGTAACCCCCGTGACATCCCTGGATGCGCTCGTCCTCGGGATATATGCGAAACAACTATAAAAACGTTAATTTAAACACATAACCAATAATTCGATTTAACTTCTCATATGATGCTCAAATTGGGCATATGAATATACCATATCGACCTACTCGACATCACGGACGTCAAGAAATTTTTAGAAAAATTTTTAGGCTTGCCACGCGCCCCCACGCGCCGTGGGTGGCACGGGTCCACGCGCCCCCACGCGCACCTTTTTCCTCAGCCAGTCGCCGGACTGGTTTTTCCGGCGGCCGATTTCCGGCCAAACTTTGAACGCTTTGTTCTCCTTCGTTTCTCAACCATTTTCTTCGTATTTTATACCAAAATGAAGCCCCAAACATGTAGAATCACGATAGACTAGTTTAAGGCTCTAAAAATCAAGAAATCTCACCGGAAAAATTCCAAGAAAATCAGCCAAAGTTGAACCACGTGATCCCGACGTCCAAAACCTTCAAACGAAGCACTCCGAGCTTCCTTGGGACCTCACTAAGCTCACTACAAGCTTAGAATTCCCTGAAAATCAACATATTACGTTTGCATGAACAATGACAAAAAATGAAGGTTCGGGTTTCACGTGATTTTGAGGGTTTCACTTCCTAAAACTAGTACTATTCAACTCAGAACGTCAAAAGGATGAAGAACCATACCTTAATAGCTTCGATCCACTGAGTTTTGGAGGGTTTTGGGTGAGGCCGTACGTTCAAGGGTAAGAGAGAGCGAGAGAGTCGGGACGGGGGAGAGAGAGAGGCACGGGGAAGAGGGAGGTAGCAGGGGGGTGTATGTGTGGTCCAAGATCAAATCCACACCATCCAAAACCTTTCCTAATTCCCTAACCACACATAACAAAAATCAAATTATTAATCCAACTTATCTTATAAATTTTTCTTCCCAAGCTTGTCTCATATTTGAACCAAATAACGTCACACACATACGTACCTTAATACCCGCTAAGGGTAATCCCGTCATTTCACATTCCCGTCAAATGTACCTCCGGGACGGGCTGTGACAGTAAGAACTCTTACTCATCTTTTTAAGTAACCAAATTTTGTTCTTCTACCATTCAACAACACATTATGTTACCTCATTAGTAACCGCTAATAAAACGCCATTGTTTATATTTTTGTTCTTGGGACGTCAAGTAAATAACAAAGTTTCCTATTCTATTCTTTGTAAAAGTAAAATGAGTAGACGTGGCAGGCAAATGGTGCTAGGTATGGGCAACGGTGATGACAGACGGGTAATCACGGTTATTTACCTATAACTATTTATAAACGGTTAATTACATCCATAATCGCGTACCCATTTAACTATAACTGTTTACCCATCTTATTTATGCCTCTTTTTACTTGTTTACATGTTTTTTAATAACTTGAAAATTAAAAAAGAAAAAAAATTTCATAACTGACAAAGAAACTCTAGCATATAAATTGGATTAGAGCGTGAGAAATTAAACTTTCATTTCAATTGGGCATGAAGCTCTAACCAAGAATAATAAAATATTAACAAAAACTAAACAAAAGTAGTTTTATGCCGAGAATCGAAGGGTATTGGAGAAGGAAGAAGATTAAGAAGAAGAAGAAGGAAGGAATTTGCAGAGAGTTTTCCTTCATTTCATTTGCAATCATAATCTTGCTGATTATGCATCTTTGTAAAGTCAATACAAAGCATCCAAAATCACCAATTCTGATTAAAAATCAAACAATATCCTAAAAAATTGAATTCAGTCAACACAACCCATAAAAATAAGAGATTTTTATATATTGTTTCATATAAAAAAAAATATATATATATATATATATATTAAAATAAACAGGTATCCGTTATAACTGCAGTTAATACCTATAATTATCAATTTAATTTTACAAGTAAACGATTATATCCATAATCGTTTATTTATCTAAACGATTACCTATACCTACTATAACTGCAGGTATTTTGCCTGCCTGTCCCTAGAAGCTGCAATGTTTGTGGTTGGTGAACACAAGCCACAAGTTGACCAAAAGACAAATACTTGACAGGTCCACGACAATGTATAATGGAAAATGATCCTTGCCGGATTTTTTTTTAGGAGATTTTGAGGATTTCATGATGGTGATCGTTCATCGTATATCGTTTTGTCAGTTTTTGTTAAATACTATTTATATTTAATTTAAAATTTAAAATTTAAAATAATTTATGATCGCACAATATTCGATAAACAATCACGATGACAGAATCGCAGATCCCCAAGAAAAGGATCCTTCAATTTATAATATACGTTATGGAATGTAAAAGGCGAATGTGGTCCACTTAAAAAGGAAATGTGTCGTCGGACTCTTTGAACTCTTTATTCCTTGCTGTAAACCAGTTTGTAATGCTGCAGTAGTTTTTGACAAAACAGTAAAAATAATAGCAGGCCAGAAGTAGGTTGCAGTGGAAGAAGAGCATTCAAATTTACTTGACCTATGTACCTCAAATGGTTAAAGGGGTTTACTTTACACCTGTGGTCCTGTGTTCGAATTCACCCTCACTAATATCGCTTGTATCAAAAAACAACATATGATCTGATGAACTGCAAGCATTCTGGTCGATCGAATCGAAGGTTGATAAAACCCTAAGCAACCGAACTAGTAAATTAGAAGTGACACAGGGGAGCAGCATGCGAAGAGAGTAAGAATTTGCTATACCTTTGATATACAGAATCAACTATTACATAGTGGAGATGGCAGACATGGTTTATTTACTGTATTTAGTATTTGCATATTAACGGATATACAGCGCGAGTGGAGAAATTTCCGGGCGGATACAGTATAATGATACAGAGAAGATGAGGAACAACCAAGTGGGAACATAAAACCAAATGGGAATGTATAATCTGCGATGCCGATGTGAGAATCCAACGTGTGAGCTCACCATCAATGCCGAAGTTGTTCTTGGAGGTATGCTGAAAGGAATTTGAAGGCCCGAACAGAACCCCACGAAAGTGCTGCAAGAGCGCAACAGATTAGCCACTGCAATGCATTCAACCTCACACAGCTGGCTAGTCCTTTTCCAAACTCAACAATGATCACCTGGATGATCAAAACAACCGCCAACGCTATCAGAAACCAATGGCTTCGGAGGACAACAACTAGCACTTCCTTTTTTAATATGTCCATGGTATTGAACATATTAAGGACCTGGCATAAGGTGAAAGTATTGAAAATCATGGTATTCCGGACGCCTTCGTTCATGCTCGGTACTGTGTTTCCCATGCAATGTAAGATCAGCAAGACGGAAGCCTGATATGAAACCTGAATCGCTATTTTTCTCCAGATGACTTTGGTTATAAGCGACTCAGTCCTCTTAGCAGGCCTTTGAGTGTGTCGTTCGGTACCTTGTAACTCCATCGCCATCATTGGGCCACCAAGAAGGCACATTATCAAGTTCACCCAAATCAAGTGAACTGCTGTTAGCGGGGACTCTCCCAAATGCATCGTTGCGACTAGGGTTACTAGTAACCCCGATATGCAAGCGGTGAGCTGAAGTTGAGAGAATTGCTGAATGTTGTGGTAAGCACAAGCACCAGACTTCATATTCATGCTTAAGAAACATTCGTTTCTAATATAAGATCGGCGCTCTCTCTGGCCATCTCGGTGCTCCAGAGATCCTCAACAATTCCTATATCAGCTTCTTTTAAGGTCAAGGTGTCACTGATGGTTAGCCCTCCATAGAATGCAACTATGTGACCTTTTTTCTTTAACCGCTCCACCATGAGAAACTTGTCCTTGGGGAGGGAACTTCCCATCACAGAGATCAAATCCACCTTATCCAGCCTTTCCATGGAATTGAGCCTTCGGAAAGCTTCACCTTCAATCTCTGTGTCATCTGAGCCAGGGGAGATCCCAAGCTCCGAAGCTCTAGCTCTCACTTTAGAGAGCTCATCCTCCGACACCAGTTTGATGCTTACTCCAGCTTTTCTAAGAGCCTCCACTGCCAATTTAAGCTTTTCTTGATATGGACATCTAAGACCGACAAGTGCCAACAAAATCAACCCATCTTCTGTAGGATCTTCAGCTTCTATTTTTTTGTATGCGTATGCAATCGGTGTAAGACCCTTCTTCTCCATTTTCTTGATCACCTCTTCAAATTTTATCTTCTGGTTTCCAATATTGTGACTTTCCCCTCTGTTATCATAATAATGTGAACACATGCCTAATATTGTTGATGCTTCTCCGTCGCAGTGAAGTTGCATAATCTGCTCATCATTCTCGATTTTCCTCACTAAGACCCCTCTATATTTCTCATTAGAGCTCCATTGTCTCTGCTCAACAGTTTCAAATCTTCGGTCAACTAACACGGCATTACTACCCCATCTGGTGTTCAGCCAAGAAATGAGCCGATCATTTGCTGGTGATGCGGTAGCTGAGATCCCCTGATGGAGAGCCTCAAGAACTTGGTCAGTTTCCGAGTCCACTTCACCACTGCTTAAATCCTTTTCGCCGATCCAAAATTCCTTGACCTCCGTCTGGTTGCACATTAGATCTGCCGTTGTTTCAATGCAGATGACTGTTATGAGTCTCATGGTGACAGAAGCTGATAGATCCTGTGGATCTGCCTGATTTTCGGCCGCCTTCTCCTTCCATTGAAAAAGGGCAACTGTAATTACAACATGCATCCCATGTTGTATCCCTATTACCACAGTTGCGAGAACGCTTGCTAAGATGGAAACCTTTCCTTGAGGTTTCAAGAAGATATTCTCAAAGATCCTCATCACAAAATTCATTGAAACTTCACCTTTCAGGTCTGGCCTCTCGTTGTAGTTTTCGTACTTCTTGAAGAATAGTAGGCGTATCAACATCACAAGTGCAATCAGTATCGAGACACAACAAGCAAGAAAATCCATACAAGCATTCGGTTTGTCCATCAAAGCTTGTAGCAGTGTCTTTTCCATTGGATTATGATCAGACACCAAGCTCAGCATCTCTGCAATAGCTGTATTAGCACCAACTGATGTCACAATCATGCGGCCGCGGCCCTTAACAACCTTTGAACCCGAAAAAACAAATGGATTTTGCTCACAATCAATTTTCGGGCTCAATACCTCATCCACCACCAGTTCCTCACCGTGATCTATGAACAAACCGTCAACAAGAACACGGTCTCCTTCCTTCAAATGAACTATATCACCCACCATAACGCCAGATATGGTAATCGGTGTAGGTTCTGTGGTACTTCTTTCGACATTCACCATCAGTTTGCTCCTCTCCAGCAAGTACTTCTGCGCTGACTTTCTCTGATTGCGGTAGTTATGCACCGAAGGGAAAGCAATTAGTAAGAACGCGGTGATGAGTATGGCAACACCGTCATGCCAGCCATCCTTGACTCCTTGCTTCATGAATTCGATGGCAAACGAAAACCCAGCTGAGAGCAAGAGGAAAAAAATTGTGTACTGATTGCACGCCTCAAACAAAAAGTACAAGAAACCTTTTGCTTCAACTGGGGACTTAGTAATGTTCCATCCTTCTGGATTTTGACCACCATCAACGACACCTTCATGTGATTAAATATTCGAATATAATCAAATGAAGTACAATATTCTCGATCAAGTACAAGATTATGGAAAAAACGGTTATTTTCTACAGGGTTGCATGCTACCTCAAAGTGAGACCTGAGAAGTGGCAAGATGCCCTCAACACCACCATGTCCGCGGAGTGAGTTCAAGTCCTTCTCTTTCACAATTCGAGCAACCTTGTTTGAAAACCGTTCCTGGAGAGGGATGTCAATCACATGGTCAGAGGCAGTGGCTGGTGGCGTTGGTGCTGCTGCTAAAGGTTCATAACTAGCTTCACGCAGACGTCTGGTTTTCTTAATGCGTGATGAGAACAAAATGCCTAGAACAACATATCTCAACGAGGTTCCCCTTCGTCCGATGGTCTGCATAATCAAGCCGGCAGTAAGAGAGGCACCTTCAGCAGCTTGATCCTCCGTATTTATCTCGAGGGCCATGTTTCCTTGTGCCACAAGAAAATTAGAGAGATGATCCGACAAGAAATTGAGAAAATTTGATCTCTTCCCGTGGATATGCAGCGAATGAGACGTTTAAGACAAGATTGGTATGACTTTTTCCTCCATGTTATCTGACACGCCCCGACCCTGATATTCCCCAAATACCAGGATAGACACGTGCTGACCGACACCTGAGGGTGACGAAAGCCATTAATTGATACAAAAGCTAAGAATAAGAAATAAATAAGGGTTATGAATTTAAAATACAATGAATTAATAATTTAGGAACGTGTTCAGAGCATACAACTAAACATAATCACTAAAAAGAATTTAGATAAAATTTAATGAATAAAGAAGTGAGTCCTACATCGAGAGGATTTGAAGATGCCGCTGCGGAAGTGCCTTCACGCCGGGATTAAGTGCCTTGATTCTAAGTCCTGAATGAGGGCGCAAAACAAAGGTGAGTGGACCAAGTTCGTATATATATAATAATAATAAAACAGTTATCAAGATACTAACCCCCACAGTTTATATAATGAAAACTACTAGCATAACAAGTGATGGATTTAATAAAAATCCTAGCATGCCAAATATCTCAAAAGTCATATCGCGGAAACGCATCGCAGAAATCAAAATAGTAAACGTATCATAAATCGTCTCGTAAACGGGATGTGCTGCTAGAAAGATCACTGAATAAATAATAATTCCCAGCCCAATGCCTGCACCTCAATCTCTGTGCCCGTAGCTAGAGATAACTCCCTCCCGGCCCAATGCATGTCTCCGTGTCCTTCAGCCTTTCGCTAGGAATTATTTCTCCCGGCCTACATGCCAACACCAGATCCTCGCCCCAGGCGGCATAGTGTCTACTAGGTACGTACAAATATTTACGCCTCTCATAAATAACCACTTCATAGTATAAAGTCATCCATCGTCTATACTATAAAGAGGGGTTTCTAAAACATGTTCTAGCATCCTATCGTCATCCATCGGATAGTCTACCCGTTCATGGTTTTTATAGAAAATACGATATATTAAAATATAGCACAAACTAGGCTAACAGTTTATTTCCTCACCAAAACACGAGACGAAATCAATAAATTTCTTAAACAGGCTTAACATAAATCAATTCATAAATTTGTAGGCATGCTAATCATTTATGCATTTACTATAAAATCATGTAATTTTAGAAGGGGTCCACTCACAGTACTTAGTTGCCAAAAGCTGCGCCACTAGCGAAGACGGAAACGTCACAATAATTGCCCCTAAGCACATAAAGAGTCCAATAAATAAAACTATATAATAGCAATTGAATTTGGGAAAACGGACGTTGGAACCGGATTCAGAACGTCGAATTACCCTAAGAAGGGTCTCGGACAAAAACCAGAAAAGTCAACCTTAAAGTCAACGTTGACCGGAGGTCAACGGTCAATTTAGGTCTAACGGTTTTAAGCTTGAAATCCGGATTAGGGTTTAGGTTAAATAGGATTAAGATTTATTGGGTTTTAGAAACCAAGGGTTTTTGGGTTAAAAGGGTTTTAGGGTGAAGAAATGGGGTTTGGGCTTAAACCCAAACACACACACACACACACACACCACAAACACACACACACAGCATAAGGCCTTAGGCCTCACAAAAACAAACAGGGCTTTAAGCCCTTTGAATTAAACCGGCCCAAGGCCATTTTAAATAAGGCCCTAAACCTTTTGGATCTTTAAAACAAATAACTAAAAATAAAAATCAAACAGGCTGGGGTTTTGGGCTGAGGCAAAACGGGCTTAAGGCCCGTGGGGTTTTCTAAACGGCCTGAGAGACCTGGTTTTGCCGAAGAAGAAGGCCGGAAAATTCGGCCGGAAAACTACCCAACTTTAAACGGCCATAACTTTATCACTACTCAACGAAATCAAGTGAGAAAAAAACGAAAGTTGTAGCCCTCGAAGAGACGAAGAGAATGGTATCTCACAAGACGTCTAACTCGCCGTGGTTTGGCCGGAAAATTCCTCGAAAGCCTCGGAGGTCACCTGAAACTGGGTAAAATTCAAATGAGTATAACTTCTTCAATAATCTACGAAATTGAGTGAAACAAAAAGATAAGTTGTAGTACTCAGGGAGACGAAGAGATTGATACCTTGCACGCAGGCCAACTCGCCGTGGTTTGGCCGGAAATGGCCTCAAAAGTCGCCGGAGTCGTCGGGGGGAACTTGGGTGTTCTCTGGGTGTCCCGGAGCTTCGCCGAGACGGGGGAGAGAGAAGAAAGTTCCAGAGATGATGGTGGTGTCGTCTTCGTTGATGTGGTGTGGAAGTGAGGGTGTGTGGTTTTGGTTCACGGGGAGAAGGAGAGAGTGCTGAGAAAGAGCACGGGAGAGATAGAGAAGAGAGAGAGAGAGAGAGAGCGGGAAAACACACAAAAAAAAAAAAAAACAACATGAGCCCCACGGGCTTACCAATTAAGAATTAAAACTATTTTTAAAATAAAATGGGGTTGGGGTGTTTCATGTTAGATCTTGAGAAAATGAGTACGTACGAAATTAGACTCCTCCTAACTGGTTGTGAGTAACGAGCATAGCTAGCTCGCAGTACTAGCACGAGATCATGACTGACAAAAACTAACTATGAAATGGTACTGAAAGCGATTTAGTGAGAAGGGGGGGGGGGGTTTGGAAACAGGACATGGGGTGCGCGCTCTTAACAACCCGAGCTATAATGACTATGACTGCAATGCATAGTTAGCTAGTGATCAAAGAAGGTTGAGGACTTGTGCAGTTGTGATGTGAAGTGGAGGGTTTCAGTCTTATTTATAGAGGCGATGGCCCGGGTGAATTCACAGCAATACCCTCTTGCAAGGGAAGCTTCTAGGAAGGTAGACTCTAAATTACCTGGAAAACTCATCTACTTAGTTTTTATAAACTTAATGTGATGTCATAGGAGGCTTACGTACGTCATTTTTATTTATTCCTATCTATGAATCATGATACGATTACAGATACAATGATCGATACGACACAACACGGTAATATGTAAAAATTTTGAAAACAAAGTATGATATGTTATGGATGTATTTTAAAAGTTGAATACTGGTATCTGATAAGTATCGTATCCGACAAAGTATTGGATACGGATTCGCAACCAAACTACTGTATTCATGTTTCATAGCTTTTTATTCGCGCTATATACGTAAGGGGTTTGTAACTTAAGTAGTTAAGAGCGTTTATTATATACTATAAGTCTGATATTAAGGGTAATGCTTATTTCTCTATGTTTTTTTTAGTAGTAAACGTTGTGATGGGAGTAGTGGTCGTTCGCCATTGAGGACGCGTTTGGGACGCGGTAGCTGTGGAAAATTGGCAAACGGGGAGACTCGTTCCATCTTACATGCGCTCAAAACTCAGAAATACAAATGGATGCGTTGACAATTCTTGCCACATTGTGGGATTTTGCTCAGATTTGACGTTGTTTTTCTTGTAAAATATGTTCATGAATAATGCCAACATTATTATTCTCACTTCATTTGATAAATCTTAAAAAAAGTTAAAAAAATAGAGAATCTAAGAGGAGGTTAGGAACGAGATTAAAAACAATTATTTTGCGTTAGATAAGTGATTTAGAATTTGTGAGATAAAACCCCACATGATGCTCGAAATGGGTTCTGGCCTTATATTTTATCTGGTAACATAGAAATTAGTTGATTCTTTTGCAATTTTTTTTAAATAAATGATTAATTAAAAAAAGAAAACGATTTTAATTACGAAATTATCTAAAATTACATTAAAATGGACGAGTATTTTTGTGTTTTTAAAAGTCTTCCATGTTCAGTTGGGAATATTAAGAAGTCAATACAAATCTTTGATTTGCTTACGTTTATTTGCTACCCTCGTTTAAACTTTAAAGTATTGAGCCGGCCATGTTTTTGTTTTTCTTTTAGAGTAATGTTAAGGAAATTAAATTTGTAGATTAAATTTTTTAAACTAAATGATATAAAAGTTGATGATTAGATTATTACTTAATCGTTGATAAATGTGCACCCCATTTAGTTTGCTAATTTAGTTTACAAATTTAATTTTCCTAACATTATTCTTTATTTCTTTCATGGTGGAAAGGTAAAATTTATCACCAACAACACAAACTTACCAACCAAAAGTTGAGGCAAAGCAAAAAGAAAGTTAAAAAAACCAAGAATTCCACTGCAACCACCGCCGCAACAATACATCTCGGCCCGCACAATTCCACACCCCCAACCGAGCATCGCCTCGCATCATCCAACCCCAATCATCTCTCTGAGCACAACCAAAAAGTGAAGAGAACCAGTGACCAAATGAAAGAAGCCCGTGGGATTCCACGACCAACACTGCAAACAAAGACAGACAGAGAGAAGTTGGTGGTGTTAGGAACACCTGAGTCAGTGGAAACACCGGAGCTCTACTCACCATCTCGATGGACGCAACAAAACGACGTGAAGCATGACTGCAAATCGGAGCTTGGATGAACAAGGAGGAGGGACACCTGTGGGGTAAGAAGAAGAGGACAAATGGAATGGAGAGCAGGGGAAAGCAACGGAATAGAAGAAAGCAGGAGACGAAGAATGAGAGGAAAGAACGGCCGCCAAACTCGACCGCAGCTATGGTCGGTACCACTGGAGTTGAACGCAATTGAAACTACTCACACGAACGTTGAGATTGCCATCAAAGGGAGAGGTCTCTCACAGTGAGAACCGGCCATGTTTTAGTTCTATTAAAACATTCTACAATACATTCTTTTAGCTCACTTTTCTCAGTTACCACTAAACAAACATCATTGCTTATATTTTTGTTTTGGGGTCGTCAAGTACATAACAAAGTTCTACATTTTATTCTCTATAAAAGTAAATAAACAGACACAGTACGCTATGATATCATAAAGAAAGTTGACTTTCCAACTTCAAAACTAACTAACAATTGGACGGAAAGGCTCGATCAATAAACTATTATGCAAGTCTTTGATTCCCCGACATGGATTCATACTCAAAACAGGTTAACTAACAAATTTTGGTAAGTGCATTGTTCTTCCTTTTTGTACAAGGGAAGAAAGTAGCATTCTGCTCCAAAATGCACAATGCAAAATGTATGATTGCTCAAGAACGTCTTGGCCTTGGCTGGGCATTTCTCAGTCTCAATGAACGCCTTCACCTCGCGATCTGTCAGTTTGTTCAAGGCTAAAGGCTCGACCATCTCTAGCTGTGTAATCATCCTCCTACAGCTCGAACAACCTCCACAAACGGCTCAGCATCTCGATCAGTTGTGTTTGAATTCTCAACCGGCATCTTGAAAGATCACTCAGATGAGGAACAAATCAGTTAAAGCTTGAAACAGCTGTGTAGTGTCTGCCCTGCCCTCCATATGCAATGCTCAGTAGTCGGATATTACTTTTTTACTTTGGATAAAAGATCTAGTGGTTAAATTACGAAATAACGTGTAAAATAATATTAATACAAATATTGTAAAGATATGGAGACAGGGACATACCTCCTCTTCTTTTCTTTGCTTAATATTGACTTGACAAATGATTCGATAGGAACAAATCATTACCTCCTTATTTGTTTCTTTATATATATATGGCAGATACGAGCGCCATCTGTTCGTAGGGTTTCTAAATTCTAGACATGGCGTTCTAATTCTAGGGTAACATGATATGCTACAATATCATAAAGATAGTTGACTTTCCAACCTCAAAACTAACTAACAATTGGATAGAAGGGCTCGACCGTTTAAACTATTATGGAAGCCTTTGATTCCCCGAGATGGATTCTTACTCAATACAGGTTAGTAAGTACATTGTTCTTTCTTTTTGTGTAGGAAGAAAGTAGCTTTCTGCTCTAAAATGCACATTGCAAAATATGTGATCGGTCAAACTCAACATGTCATAAAGAGTTTGTTACTCAAGTAACTAGGAGTGTTTATTATGTAACGGAAGTCCGGTACTAAAAAATGACATCACAATTCACATATGGGGATGCCTATATTTCTCTATGTTTTGTTTAGTAGTAAACGCTGTGATGGGTTGAGAGTAGTGGTGGTTCGCGCTTGAGGACGCGCTTGGCACCGCGTTTGGCATGCTGTGGAAAATTGGCAAAAGGGCAGACTCGTTCTGTGCACTCAAAACTCAGGAGAGAAAAATACAAATGGATCCGTTGACAATTCTTGTTATTGTTATTGTTGAAATCAGCAATGAAACTACTTGGTGACAATTGGAGAAGATGAACAAATTACTCCGCAGCAATCAGCAATGTTGAGGATATCCACTAACCAATTTCCTGAAGCAAAGGTAGTATCTTTGCCAATTGATTGAATTTGTGAACCCCGAATTTGATACAAACGATAGGATTTTGAAACGAGTCATTGTTTATTACTGCAGATTACATCGTTCTTAGTGAATTGCGTTGGAATCTTGAGAAGCGGTTTGCTTCCAAAGATCATACCACTCTTCTACTGAATTGCAACAGCAAATTGAAAGATGTTGGCAAGCTAAAAAACTAATCTGAGGAACTTTAAAATAGAAAATAAGGTTTAAACAACGGAAATTTCCGAACATATTTGGTAGGAAAATAGTTGCTTATACATGTTACCCCAGTAAGTGAAGCTGAGTCTTTGTCATGAAAGATACATTCGGATACATGATGGTGCTCTTCATGATTTCTGATGAGAATATTACTTTGTGTGTGGGTTTGTGTATGTCAATAACTAAAATCTGCAGGACAAAAATACACTTGACGCCCTTGTTTCAATCCAAACTGTGTGGATGTGGGCGTGTTTGTGAGAGAGGTTATCTAATGAATCCTTTAATTGTTCAGGAAACCACATCTGCAATGAGAAACGAAATTCAGGAGCTTAGGACAAATGCCAGAATCTTTCAGCTCAGCCAGTGCACTGCATGTGTTGTGTTTGGCTCATACATTTGTGAGTAATTATGAGTCATGTGTTAACAATAATGAAGTGACATGTGTTTGCTTTCGGTGGAAATATCACATGGTGTGGGTTGCATGAAAGTTGCAGACAAAGTAAAAGCAAAAGTTTGGTGGACATCATCATGAGTAAAGATATAATGATGATGCTTGCTTTTACTTTAATGATGATGTTTGTTTTTTGCTTTAATGATGATGTTTGTTTTTTGCTTTAATGATGATGCAAGACACAATGATGATGGCTATGATGGCTTGGCCTTATATTGAGAAGGCTTGCCGAGTTAGGGAGAGAGAGAGAGCATTCGGCTCTCTCTTGAGAAGGCATCAGAGAGCATCCAAAGGGGGAGAGCATTCGGCTCTCCCATGGGAAAGCATGGGCACGGGTGAGAGAAAATCAAGAGAGCTAGAGTGAAAAGTATTCTAGTGAAAGAACTCTTGGGGTAGAGTGAGGCTCTTGGGAAAATTCTATGAGTGGGTGTGCAAGGGATTTGGGATTGGGTTATGTTGATTTAACTCATGTGTACTTGTACTGTTATTCTCATAGTGAAGAGCAATATCTCTCCGGGGACGTAGGCAGGTTTTTGCCGAACCTTGTAAATTTCTCGGTGTCTTTATTTCTTGTATTTTATTCTGTTCAACTGAGTGTGATTTTGGTGAGGTTGTAATCTGAATCTCGTTTCCGCACTAATGAACGGACCAAGGCACAACAATTGGTATCAGAGCATCGTTGGAGGCTTTGGTTCGTTGGAGGTCCAGATTTGTTGTTCACCATGAATTTTTCAGTTGAGCAGTTTAATGGGAGAGGCGGTTTTACTCTTGGTAAAGGAGAGTAATGGAAGCCTGAAGAAATGGAAGCCGTGTTCAGGGATGCTTGGATCAACTGCGAAAGTTGATGTTGAGGAAGAAGAAAAATGCCTCTTTCTTCTTACCTCACTTTCAAATTCGTACGAGAACCTTGTTAAACTTTACTACATGGAAATATACAGTAAGTTTGGAGCAGGTGCAAGCTTATTTGGCGTGGAATGATACACAAAGGAGACCATGGATGATGGTGGGCACAAGACTGCTTAAGTTATTAAAGGTTGAAATCGTGGAAGAAAATTGGAAAGAGGATATGAGAGAGACAGCAGGTTCAGATCTGGTTCCGGAGGCAAGGGTCCACAGTGCTATGAGTGCAAGGCCGGGTTGTAGCAAGTTTGTGGCGGAAGACTTTGAGTATGTCCTCTAGGTACTCGAAGCAACACTTCTCCAGGTGATGTTTAGTCTCAAGTATTGCAGGGGTTTTGCAGCAGGTGGAGCTATGGGATTCACAGGTGATGAGATGGTCCTGAGGTAGGAGAAAGTGTGGGAATTTTGTCTGGCTCGATGGGTTGTTGCTGGAAACGGGCGCGCTGACGAGTTTCCAGGTTGCAGACAATGAAGAGGAGGAAAACCTGCTGGAGGAGACGAGGATGTGTCGAGATCCTGTCTGAAGCTAAATTGTGATTTTTAGCTTGCAGCAGCTGCACATGCATTGGCAGTGACTGAATCGGAACAGGACCAATGAGGTGGATTCAGAGTGTGCATGCTGGTACGTAAGGCCAATGGACTTTGGTGATGGGTGCAAGGATTTTTGCATGGTGTATTCGCCAAGGTGAAGATTGTTGTGTTTGGTTCATACATTTGTGAGTAATTATGAGTCATGTGTTAACAATAATGAAGTGACCTGTGTTTGCTTTCGGTGGAAATATCACATGGTGTGGGTTGCATGAAAGTTGCAGACAAAGTAAAAGCAAAAGTTTGGTGGACATCATCATGAGTAAAAATATAATGATGATGCTTGCTTTTACTTTAATGATGATGTTTGTTTTTTGCTTTAATGATGATGCAAGACACAATGATGATGGCTATGATGGCTTGGCCTTATATTGAGAAGGCTTGCCGAGTTAGGGAGAGAGGGAGAGCATTCGGCTCTCTCCTGAGAAGGCATCAGAGGCATCCAAAGGGGGAGAGCATTCGGCTCTCCCATGGGAAAGCATGGGCACGAGTGAGAGAAAATCAAGAGAGTTAGAGTGAAAAGTATTCTAGTGAAAGAACTCTTGGGCTAGAGTGAGGCTCTTGGGAAAATTCTATGAGTGGGTGTGCAAGGGATTTGGGATTGGGTTATGTTGATTTAACTCATTTGTACTTGTACTGTTATTCTCATAGTGAAGAGCAATATCTCTCTGGGGACGTAGGCAGGTTTTTGCCGAACCTCGTAAATTTCTCGGTGTTTTTATTTCTTGTATTTTATGCTGTTCAACTGAGTGATTTTGGTGAGGTTGTAATCTGAATCTCGTTTCCGCACTAATGAACAGACCAAGGCACAACAGCATGCACTTTTACCCTCGATCTCCCAGTTGTGCATTTATGTGTATCCACTCGTTCCATTAGTGTTGCCTTGGGGATAATGAGAAGGAGTGTCTTGTATGTGCTAATGAATACAAACACACAAGTAGTTAAAAAAAATCTTTGTAAGTGCATTTGTTTTTGTATAAGGGAAGAAAGTAGTATTGTGCTCCAAAATTAACAATACAAATTTGCAAGATGTACGATTGCTCAAGTACTCAACAGTCTTGGCCTTATCTGGGCAATGGATTTCTCAGTCACAATGAATGACTTTACCTCCTGATCTGGGTGAAGAAATTCAAATGCGAGGATGAGGGGTTCACTAAGAAAATGAACTCTAAACGTAACAAAACCGACACATGTACATTCGTAAATCGATACCAGTACTTGACACAAAGAAATTAGCTAAAGATTTAGAAACTTCAAGAATCATGATTCTAATCTTTGATTCATTTCGGTTTTTTTGGGACTACAAAGCTCGATTTGTTTGAACTACAAAACCACGATTTCAAATTCATAGTTTTCTTATCTCACTACACAAACACAATCATGCATGCAAAACACAAAAGACAGAACTATGCATGTAGAGCACAAAAGACACAACTCGAGCAAAGAACAAAACAAAATTGAAAAACAGGTCCGATTACTACAAAAAAGTTAAGCACTAGTTTCTGAAGTAGCAAATCAAATAAAACCGAACTTGTTGAAGGTGAATTGTAATCAGTTGGATGAGCAGAGCATTATGATGGCTAGGTCCTAGGTCTTTTGGACAACAGAGCAGAGGAGGTGGAAATATGACCATCGGTGCCCATGGTGATGGCGGGAGCAGGTTGGGGTTCTAGGATGGCTCCAACTGGTCCAACACGAGGAGCATAAGGGGGACTTGGGGAGGGGCTTTCAGTGTTTGCTGCGATATAGTCGACTAGTGGAGCGACTAATCCTCTGGCTCCAATGTCGGCATCGGCGGGCAAAACTATCTAGCGTTCTCCACCAATAACCAGAGACGGTGCCACAATACATCTCTTGATCTTTTCCAGTCCCCCATCTTTGGACGTGATTGCTACTAACGTGTAGAGTTGGAGCTAAAACAAATAGACAAGCAAAGCAACAAAAATCAATCAATTATTCAATCATTACCAATCATAACTAAACTAATCAATCAATTGTTTAAGTTAGATGATTGAATAATTGATTGATTTTTGTTGCTTTGCTTGTCTATTTGTTTTAGCTCCAACTCTACACGTTAGTAGCAATCACGTCCGAAGATGAGTAACTGGAAAAGATCAAGAGATGTATTGTGGCACCGCCTCTGGTTATTGGTGGAGGACGCTAGATAGTTTTGCCCGCCAATGCCGACATTGGAGCCAGGGCATAAGTCACTCCGCTAGTCGACTATATCGCAGCAAACCCTGAAAGCCCCACCCCAAATCCCCATTCTGTTGGACCATTTAGAGCCATCATAGACCCCCAATCTGCTCCTACCCCAACTCCCCCTTCTGCTCGTCGTGTTGGACCATTTGGAGCCATCCCAGAAACCCAACTGGCTCTCGCCATCACAATGGGCACCAATGGTCATATTTCCACCTCTTCTGCTCCGCCGTCCAAAAGACTTAGGACCTAGTCATCGTAATGCTCTGCTCCTCCAACTGATTCCAATTCACCTTCAACAACTTCGGTTTTATTTGCTACTTCAGAGTGCTTAACTTTTTTGTAGTGATCGGACCTGTTTTTCAATTTTGTTTTGTTGTTTGCTAGAGTTGTGTTTTTTGTGTTCTGCATGCATGATTGTGTTTGTGTAGTGAGATAAGAAACTATGAATTTGAAACCATGGTTTTGTAGTTCAAACGAATCGAGCTTTGTAGCCCTAAAAAAAAACTGAAATTAAACAAATATTAGAATCATGATTCTTGAATTTTCCAAATCTTTTGCTAATTTATTTGTGTCAAGTGCTGGTATCGATATACAATTGCATGTGTGTCGGTTTTATTATGTTTATAGTTCATTTTCTTAGTGTACCCCTTGTTCTTGCATTTGAATTTCTTCACCCAGATCGGGAGGCGAAGGCATTCATCGTGACTGAGAAATCCATCGCCCAGCTGAGGCCAAGACTGTTGAGTTCTTGAGCAATCGTACATTTTGGAAATTTGTATTGTGCATTTTGGAGCAAAATTCTACTTTCTTCCCTCATAAAAAAACAAATGCACTTACAATTTTTTTTAACTACTTGTGTGTTTGTGAATTAATAGACGAGGACTCGGAGTTGAGATTGAAACAGAAGGGCGAGGTAGCCTCATCAGCTGTAAGCTGAGGTGCTCCGCTGTTTATCTTGCCGGGACATATGCCTGCCGGCCCTGGACTAATATGTGCACTGCTAATAATAATAGAGAAACATCCAAAAAACCAGATAAGACCAAGATGGGCGGAGAGAATAAATGCACAAAAATTCTTGAGCGGTTAGATATTTTAGAGTGCATTTTTGCTCACCACCATTTAGTGTGGTGTATGCTTACCACCCTATTTATCACCGTTAGATAAGTTTGAATTTTAAGATTTGTGTCTATCCACTACATGAATCTCGAAATTTAAACTCATCTAACTGTGATAAATAGGATGGTGAACATACACCACACTAAATGGTGGTGAGCAAAATTAAACAGCTAGATTATCGCTTTTGCATTTTTAAATAAAGAGATTTAAAATAACAATAATTAAAGACAGGGTAAGATGGAGATACCTCCTTTTCCTCGCCTTTATCGGTTGACACTGACTCCTCCACAAGTGCTTCTTCGATACGAACAAATCAACCATTACCTCTCCTTTATTTATACACCAGCATTTACTTGATAAGGTTTCTAAATTCTAGGTCTACCCTTCTAGGGGAGCACTGGAATTAATCAGCACCGTTGATTTCACATCGTGCGTCCAGTATCAAATGCCTCTTGGTTTGCCTTTATACGTTAGGACAACTAGACGAATTTATTTACAAAAGAACCGAGCCAATGGTCAATCCGCATGACCAAGTCCTCCCTCTTCGTCATCGTCGCATGTTTAAATGTTAATTAATTTCTTCAGTGATGAAAGTGATACGGGATTAAGCTTACTGGAGCGGACGCCCAACTCCTCCCTCTACGCCGTCGTTTCCTGTTTTCTTCGTCTTCTTTTGACAGTAAACCAGGTTATCAGAGTCGACTGTTGCTCCAGCGGCTGAGGGAAGGTGGTGATCGGCTGCGACGACGGCACCGTCGCCTTCCTCCACCGCGGCCTCACTTCGGTTTTGGATTCCAAGCTCACTCCACCTCCGTGCTCTTCCTTCGGCAGCTCAAGGTCAGCTTCCTCCCGCACCTATTTTGTCTTGATTTTACCGATTTTCTGTTTGTTTCTCGGGAAAATGTGTGTTCATTTTGCTCTTGTTATTGTTAGAATCAGCAACGAAACGGTTTGGTGACAATTGGAGAAGATGAACAGATTACTCCGCAGCAATCGGCAATGTGCCTCAAGGTTTTCGACGGCACGAGCTCAAGCACAACGAGCCCTGATTGCGTTGGAATCTTGAGGATATTCACCAACCAATTTCCTGAAGCAAAGGTAGTGTCTTTGCCATTGATTGAATTTGTAACCCCCGAATTTGATAGAAACGATAGGGTATTGAAACGAGTCATTGTTTATTACTGCAGATTGCATCGTTTTCTTTATTTACTTTTTGGTGACTTTTGTGCAATTGATGGGCGTGGATCTTGTTGGGCTTTCAAAGTAGAAAAGAGATTTTTACGGTAATTTTTAGGCTTTAAAAAAAATAAGGGAATTTTGATGAAAAATTCGCAGTACTACTTTAATGAAAAATTACATTTTTACGCTAAAATGTTGAATCTGGTACTATTTACTTTACCTTTTATTTTATCTTTATCTTTAAAACTTAAAAGTTTTCAAGTCATTTTATTAATTTTTCTAAAAAAATAGCAGCAGCACTTTCAAAATTTATAACCTGAATAACTGTTTAAATTGCTCACAGCCTATTGGTTAAATGGAGAGCAAGTTGTTTAAGAAGAACATTGCATGAGAAGGGCCCTTGCTTCCAAAGTTCATACCGCTCTTCCACGGAATTGCTACACCAAATTGAATGATGTTGGCAGGCTAAATGTGTTCATTAAAAGTGAGGGTGGTTTTGGGGGACATATATTTGATGTGGAGACTGCAAGAGGTCTGACTCTTCTTGTGGAGTTATCTGTCTCCTGCAGCGGCAACGAATTGCAAAGTTCTTGAAATTCCTTCGAATGTCTTTGAAGGTGGGTGTTGGCAGGAGTGGTGGGAACCGTTGGTTGCTTTGTGTTGTCAATTGGGATAGCACGTCTGCAAGAACAAAGAAAGTTGTAAAACATTGTAGCACGGCTGGTATTGTACGTACTGTGTAGCATGAAAACTTGAGCCTGAAATTTATCAATCAACCATCCAACGTATATTACATACAATACAAGTAACGTAACTTAAATCGACGGAAATTGAACAAGTAGCTTCAAATACTATTAGGGATGTAATTGGTAGATTATTATAATTCAAGGACAGATTTTTTTGAAAAAATATTTGAAGGATCTAATTTTCAGACAGGTGATAATTCAGGAACTAAATTAGCAAATCACCGTATACAGCTAGCTAGTACGGTAACTATTAAAGTCGCCGAAGAAGGGTAGTTGGCTACTTGCTTGACAATTAAAGTAACTAGTGCGGTTCATCAGAAAAATTGCAGCTAGCTAGCACACTAACTATAAAAGTAACTAGCAGCTTCAATCGGACTACGATATCTTTTGGTGGGCTCTACGTTCCGTACGTCTTTTCTGCAGAAGGGTAAAAGGATAGGGAGTTAAGAAACTTGGCGAGCTAACAGGGTATTGGTTTGGTTCTGGGCAAAATAATGGTACAGACGTCATCATCCCCCTTCTCCTATCTTGACGAGCAAGAGCGAGTTTCTTGCATCCCTTCCCCTAAACAAATTCTAATCTCAAAATTTACATTAACAGCAAAATATACATTCATATTTTTCTCGTGCAAACGATAAAACGGTGAATCATCTCACTATAAATGCGTTCTCTTATTTCCTTGTTTTTACACTTAGGTAGAAAATGAACCATCTTGGTTATCTTTTGTAGTGTATATTAATGTAACACATTCAAACTCGAATAAGGAAGTATTTATAGTGCCATCTACCAAAGTTATGACTCTCTTGTAAATAAACATGAAATTAGGTTGTGGCACGATTTGGCTCTTTTGTAAGTGCAAGTCATGACGTTGTTTCTCTTTGTCAATTGACTGCTACCAAGTTATGACTTTAATGGACTTGGATTGTCTGCCCTCCAATTTCGGTGCCCTCTCCGTGCCCTTCTGTTTTTGTAGTCACGGTTAAGCCACGTCAACATTTTATATTATTATTTCTTTTTATTTTATTATTTTTATAAAAAAATAATATAAAATATTGACGTGACTTAACCGTGATCACACAAAACAGGAGGGCACGGGAAGGGCACCGAAATAGGAGGGCAGACAATCCAAGTCCGACTTTAATGTAAGCAAGTTGGTTGGCAGAGTTAAATTATTATGGTCACTTTTGCAAGACCTATATCCTTCAGCCTTTACCAAACATTACCCCTCCTTCATACCACTACTGTCTCTTATCAGTATATTTATTGTATTTCAGACTTTTCAATCTTGTACATGGTTCAATAATTTGGACCCGACTATTGATTAATTGATTGATTAGTTTAGTTATGATTGAATAATTGATTGCTTTTTGTTGCTTCGCTTGTCTATTTGTTTTAGCTCGAACTCTACACATTAGTAGCAATCTCGTCCGAAGATGGGGAACTGGAAAAGATCAAGAGAGATATTGTGGCACCACTTCTGGTTATTGGTGGAGGCCACCACCCGCCAATGCTGACATTGGAGCTAGGGGATAAGTTGTTCTACTAGTCGACTATATCGTAGCAAACCCTGAAAGCCCCAACCCAAGTCCATTTCTACTCCTCGTGTTGGACCAGTTGGAGCCATCCCAGACCCTAATCTGTTCCCACCCCAACTCCTTCTTCTGCTCCTCGTGTTGGACTATTTGGAGCCATGCCAGAACCTCGAATCTGCTTCCGCCATCACCATGGGCACCGATGGTCATATTTCCACCTCCTCTGCTCCACCGTCCAAAAGACCTAAGACCTAGTCATCGTGCTCTGCTCCTCCAACTGATTCCAATTCATCTCCAACAACTTCGGTTTTATTTGCTACTTCATAAACTAGTGCTTAACTTTTTTGTAGTAATCGAACCTATTTTTCAATTTTGTTTTGTTGTTTGCTCGAGTTGTGTCTTTTGTGTTTTGCATGTATAGTGGTGTCTTTTATGTTCTGCATGCATGATTATGTTTGTGTAGTGAGATAAGAAAACTAGGAATTTTGTTTGTTGGGTCATCGTCTTGACTCTTTAGCTTGTTTTTGGATTTACCATTTTGTCTGCTGGGTCATCGTCTTGACTCTTTAGCTTATCTTGGCTTTATGTTTTTATCTTCCACGCAACCAGTGTTATTTGAATATCTTCATCATTGCCTTTTTCCGACACATCTGAAACAATTCTTTCATTATCATCCTCTTCTTGTTGTTGAACGTTAAACATTTTATCATCAGCATCACCTTTTTGACGTTTAGGTGCCACTACAGTTTCATCTTTCTTGGATACTTGCTCAGGTCCCACTACTGTTTCATCTTCTTCAAGATCTTTGTGTTTAAGCACTAATTTTTTTTATGCTTTAGCTTTCTTGTTTTTGGTCCCTTCTTAGCTACTTGTTTTTCCATTTTCCTCTTTTTGATGCAGGTGGAGGATCGACAAAGTCATTATCATCTTCTGAGCACTGTTCAACTGGCTCCTTAATATCTGTGAAAGGTTAAAGAGTTATGTTTTTTTATACTTTGTTTGAAAATAACACACAACAGGTACATGCAAAATCACACATGTAGAATATATTTTCATATAAAGTACATGTAGAATCATGTTTTACATAAAAGTATATACAGTATCAGCTTTACCTTCAAATTTTCATTTGCTTCTTTATAGATTTTTTCATGTAGAATTGTCAAATCCCACTTCATTGTTGTTGGCAAGCGTTTCTCATTTCCTTATATTGGTTTGATGATTGTGGTGTGATCACAAATCCAATACTGTAGACAAAATAAAAGTGATAGATTTGTATATTTTTGTAAAATAAGACAAAAATTGACTTTTTTTTATTAGTTTTTGTTTGTTTATCAGTAAAAGTACAACAGTGCCACTAACGGTTGGTTGTTTGTCTCTTTTTCTCTCTTGTGTTCCATTGATTGATTCCACCAAGTATCTAGTTGTTTCTTTGGCCCAATTGTACTTATTTATGTTATCAATGGAGTTGCAATTCTTGGTCAAACTCCAAGGGAGTTTCCCTATTAAGCTCCCAAGCAGATTTGTGTGGAGCAAATATAGAATTATAAGGTAGGTTGCATCTTGATCGTCCTAGTATCAAATGCAACTTGAATTGCTTGTACAATTTCTCTTTTAACAATTCTAGTCATTTCCGAGAAGTATTTATCAACAAATCTGTTTTCTTTCAGCTTTGGGATTCTTGAGTCTCTTGTTGACTGATGGGTTTCTCTGCCTTGGTTTGGAATACCAAATATGTGTTGGACATCATCAGCATTTACTTTGCAATATTCATTTTTGAATTTGAACATTCTGTTTTCAATGTCATACCAGTTCACTATATGTATGACATCCTAGTCTGATTTCTTCATTTGTAATTCACCTTTTATGTAAGTTTTCACTAGTTTGCCAAAAAGTGACTTATATATGAATGCCAAGACTTTTGGTTTTTCTTCAAGTTTTAGCTTGAACTCTTGTATTAATTCTGCAAATGCCAAGAGATTCAGTCTTATTTGAGCATAGTAATCATCTGTTGCTCGACGCTTTACGGTAGGATATTTTGGAGCTGATTTCTTTTTGCTTACAAAATGTTTTACTTTTGACATCATCTTCATAAAAGAAAAATGAAACGATCATGAGGATAATACATTTGCCATTTGCATCTAGTTTGTCATTTATTTAACTTCATATTTTTTGATAATTTATTATACTTATAATCGTTTCATTTTTTTATGAAGATGACGCCAAAAGTAAAACATTTTGCAAGTAAAAAGAAATCAGCTCCAAAATTTCCTACCGTAAAGCATCGGGCAACAGATGAGAACTTAGCCTTTGCAGAACTAATACAAGCTCAAGCCAAAACTTGAAGAAAAACCAAAAGTCTTGGCATTCATATATAAGTCACCTTTTGACAGACTTGTGAAAGCTTACATAAAAGGTGAATTACAAATGAATCAGACTGAGATGTCATACATATAGTAAACTGGCATGACACTAAAAAAGGAATGTTCAAATTCAAAAATGGATATTGCAAAGTAAATGCTGGTGATGTCCAACGCATATTTGGGATCCCAAACCAAGGTAGATAAGCCCCTTAGAAAACAATAGACTTAAGGATCTCAAAGCCAAAAGAAAACAGATTTTTGATAAATATTTCTTGGAAATGACAAGAATTGATAGAAGAGAAATTGCACAAACAATTCAAATTGCATTTGATACTAGGATAATAAAAGGGGATTAAGATGTAGCATGTCTTATAATTCTATATTTGCTCAACACAAATCTGCTTAGGAGCTCAGCAGGGAAACTTCATTAGAGTTTGGCCAAAATTTGCAACTCCATCGATAACATAAATTAGTATAACTGGGCCAAGGAAACAGCAAAATACTTGATAAAATCAATCGATAAAAGACAGAAGAGAAAAAGAGACAAACAACTAACCGTCAATGGCGCTGTTGTATTTTTACTGGTAAGCAAACAAAAACTAATAATAAAAAAATCAGTTTTTGTCTTATTTTACAAAAATATACAAATCTCTAACTTTTATTTTGTCTACGGTATTAGATTTGTGATCACACCACAATCATCAAACCAATAAAAGGAAAGGAGAAACGCTTACCAACATCAGTGAAGTGAGATTTAACAATTCTACATGAAAAATTTATAAAGAAGCAAGTGAAAATTTGGAGGTAAAGCTGATGTTGCATATACTTTTATGTAAAACATGATTCTACATGTACTTTGTGTGAAAATATATTATGCATGTGTGATTCTGCATGTGTCTGTTATGTGTTGTTTTCAAACAAAGTAAAAAATATATAACTCTTTAACCTTTCACAAATGGATAATGCAAAACAAATTGAGGAGTCAGTTGAACATCGCTCAGAAGATGATGATGATGACTTTGTCGAAGGTTCACCTGCATAAAAAAAAGGAAAATGGAAAATCAAGTAGTTAAGAAGTGACCAAAAGCCAAGAAAGCTAAAGTGTAAAAAAAATTAGTGCTTCAACATGAAGATCCTGAAGAAGATGGAACAGTAATGGGAC